GTATTTTTGATATCGTTATTTTTCGTATCGTTTACAACACATGTAATATGAGAAATCTTTGAATACACATAATTTCAAGGTCGTGGTGTTGAATAAGCAACTTAATGAATATATGGAAAGATTTGTAAACAAAAACGAAAAGGATAAGGAAGATAGTAATTATTATAATTTAAGAGAATGGAAAACAGAAGACTTTGCTCAAACGTTACTTTCTCTTCTGGTGACTGAATTCCTTAGAACGCCTAACAAAGCACAAATGCATGTTGCAAGTCTGTCATCAGACGAAAAAATTGACTTACTTCATATTGCATGTTATTATTATAACGGATAACGGACAGAAGAGTTCGACCATTTTGCTAATGTTTTATTTCCGAAGAAAAGTTTTTTGTCTGCTCCGTACAAAACAAAAGAAGCAATCGTACAAATCCTAGGAGACAATACTTATCAAGACAAACCACTATTGACTCATTTCAAAAAAGATTTCGAAAACTTTAAAGTTTTTGACACGAATCAAAATACAAAGCTGCATTTATTATTAGCAGTTGTAGAGAGAAAATCCTCAAGGCACAATTATGCAATCAGCCTCAGACGGACCCCGACGACCATTTATGATCAGCACTATGACAGATTGACTTGACAATTCTAGAAAGTTGACTGCACTGTTACTTACGATAGGAGATTGCTAAAGTTTCATTGAAATGCATGGATAGTTACTTAGGGTGCCTCCTGATATTGTTTTGTTCAGATGGTAAGATATCGGTTTGAAGATACTTTTTTTACATTAGACATGCGCGAGCCTGATTCTGAGCTCGGAATCTTTTTTTGATGCATTGGGACTGAGACTCTAATGTACTTGACTGAATATAAACACATAAAATGCCAGAATATCTATCACTCATTGAGACCAATCTACCGTAACAATGTTTTATCAGCTCACACCTCTCTCCTAAGGATAAGTACACAATGACCTTTTGCCTACAATCAGATAGCTCAATCTGCTCAGTATTGCGCCAATTGCGAAAAAGAGTTAGAATTTACGTCCTAATTACTTTTTATTTAGATAGAAGACACATTTTTACGTCCCAATTCCGTCCCTATTCTAGTGTCTTTTTTGTGAACGTTTAACTCTAACATAAAAAAGCGCTTCGGAAAAATTTAGATCAGATTTAATTGAGATGATACTTGTTTTTATTTCAAATAGAAAGATTACCTAATCAGAGGAAAAGGAGTACCAGATGATTGTAGTAGAAGACGGGGGTCGATATAGCCAAAAAATTGATCACATAATATATGTACCAGTTATGCATGGGATACGAGGCTGAACCACCATATACATGCACATCCATTCAAATAGGAAGCGAATCTTTTCAGTGGACATGGAGGAAAATATAGCTGACATCGTTTGAAAGTAACTTAGGCTAATAAATTCCGATTTTTCACCAGTATTTTCTTAGATGTTCACTAACAAGTGAGTGATAAAGTGGTATCTTATTTATTCTGACTGAGAAACATGAAGCATTTTGATTATTGCGCTCATTCACTCACCAATTCACTTCGCCGGAAGTGAGGAATTAGCTCAAAAATTTAGAGACTGGAATCTGGTACCAAGGAACACGAAATAACCGGTCGGTTTCAAACAGACAACAATGAGCTGGATTGTCTGAACGCCACTAGACAAATTCCGTACGTAGCACGAAGCCAAAAGGTCGCTTTTTCCTAATGTCTATTCGTACGTTGATTGTACAAGTTTCCGATTCTTTTCAAAAATTACAACACCAATACGGACTAATCATGATAAAAAGTCGTATGACACGATTGCACGTTGCTAGGAAGGGAAAAAACAATTTTTTAACGTGTCATTGGGATTTCTGGCAAGATGGTGAGACCATGCATTTAGTGAGATTTCTCTGTTCTGATTGATCTCTACATATCTCTGCATCAGCTCCCCATACACACTCACTAATCACGTACTAGCTATACGGAAAGCTACGTGAAACTAGCCAAGAGAACTGTGTTGTACATCACAACGTAGTGGGTATGCTAGCAGACGGTTAAATCGGGGCACCAAGGCATAAGTAACTTTCCCGAGATATTACATGACTTTGCCGGAGCCGAGGCTCGAATGCAATACATTTGAAGTACGTAACGAACAGCATAACCAGCAAGCCATGCCATCCTATCAGAGAGACCTGTCATTCAGTACATTAATGTGTCTCAAAACAGTTTTAGAAAAGTAAGTATAAGTCAAGTTTCGATCAAAACAATATTTAGCATTAACCTTTTTTTAAAAACTAAGGTTCTTCCTTCAGTACATCGAATTACAAGGGAGATATGATAACTCTTGAATTGATATCATAGTAAAAATTGTATCTCAATGCTACTATTGTTGTTATTGTTGTTGTTGTTAGAGTTACTTAATTTTAAAGTAGATTATATATGCGACGAACGAACATCGAGACAAAAACGTATATTTTCTTCTTATTTTAGTGAGTCAACGTGATTTATTTATACATAAATGTGGTCATCATTATCGTTTCTTCTTTGTGTTGTTATTTATCGAATATGTCTGTCTGATAGTAGAAGATTAAGAGCTAACGTACTTCATGTTCGTGAACAAATGAAACGATCTGAACCATCAACTACCATCTATCAAATTGATTTTAATTTAACTGTTTGGTTTAAAACACTACCCATTTGGTTAAGTTCCATATTTAATTTAAATCATATCACTGATAGCAAATATCGTTCAACAGTGACGATTAAATCAGATACAAATGTTACGAATAGTGACTATTATTCAATTCTAGTATTAGATATTGGAAATAATGATATATTATCATCACCAAATGGTACTGATCACGACAGTTTACCCTATTTACACTGGATGATGGTTAATATTCATTATGAGAAAAATGATCGTGATGCCAATAATGAAACAAGTTCAAACGAAGTATCAATCTACGAATCACCAGCTAAAGTAAAACATAAGTACGTTGCACGATTTTATAATCAAAAATCAGGACGTATTGTTCGCACAACCATTAAATTAGATGATTATACAGGACAGTATAAAGAAAGTAATAGAAAAAAATTTAAATTAGAGCAATTTGAACAAAAATATGCATTGGAACTATTGGCATTTATAACATTCACAATAAAAGAGACAAGGTAATAGTTCGCTTCTCAGCTGTTGATCAACAAAAGCAAGAAAAGATTTCAATTACAGGCAGACGATAGTTTAGAAAAAAATTTAAAGGGGCTTTCTAGTGTCGAAAGCTGCTAATACAGAGTAAATTTAAACTTTTAAAACTGGAACTAGGCGAACTTTAAGTTTTGTGTACACGACTAAAAGAACAAACTCATATCTATTTTACTTTGCGTATTTAATTATCATTAAAAGACAAACATCAAATGAGATTTATCTAATTTTTCCTTAATTTGTCACGATTATCGGTGAAATCAAATAATCTTTAAACACCATCGATGAATGAATTCATCTGTACGTGTTTAGCACTAAATTTGTTTTCCTCATTCACATTATGTCGCTCTAGTAAGACATGATTTACTTTCTATTTATGATAATGGTTCAAAATTATAAACGTTTATTTTATGAACTCTATTAATGACGATTTTTCTACTTTATGAACAATATCTTTAGTTAAAGTCGGTAATAGTGATGACTGTTCAATTTTGTTACATGTTCATATCAAACTTTATTTTTATTTCAAAAGATTAAAGACAAGTCTTCTTGAAAATCTTCATCACTACTTCTGGTCTTTGTCATAAACATTGAATTGAATCATTTTGTTAAAAGTTGATGTAGATACAACGATTTTCAAATTACACAAGTTAATGACATCTGCAATATTCGAAAACACATTAGATTTCTAAGTGAATTAGCCTTCTTGTATTAAGAGTCTCATCGACGTATATATGATTGCTATCCAAACATAACAACACAAAAAATAACTGGTTATTTATATACACAAACACATGAATAGCTAGCTAACTCAACTTTTGTATCATCCACTACAAAATAACCTTTTCTTATTCTAATGTATACTCCAAATTTACTTTTGTGCTATAGATTTTTTTATTTATCGTCACAAGTTGAGCTGGTGCAAGTTAATTCATACAAAGCATCAATCATTTCATTTCGTTCAATGTTAACAATCTTTAATTTTTTGTTTTTTTGTTGAATAAATTAATTTTTCTGTGTATATAATCGAATCAATAACAAAACAAAAATAACAAGAGTAAAACTATTATTTATCACACATCCAATATAAGAATAGACACTGTCAACAAACTGATTTTCATTTTTATTTTTTTTCGTGATCCAACAACATTCCATCCATCATCTTCTTATCCTAAACAAACAAAATTCCGACATATACGCTAATGTAAAAGCGATCTAAAGAGTTTTGTATGACTTTGTTCGAATGTGTGACTTAGAATAAATCACCGAAAAAAGTAGCCAAGTTATGTAACAATCGTAATATTTTCATTACTAAAAATTCATCTACTAATCGTGCCGAGCAGATTCAATTGATTCTTTAAGACATTTAAGTCTATTCCGCCTAAAAGAAGCAACCAGTTATTGTGCACAAGTGACAAATAACCAAATTCACTGACTTTGATGATGTAGGTGGTAATGTTGCTCTTGGAGTCCATTTCTCCGATGCCATTCCTGATTTGTTTTGCTGAACCATCGCCAGTATTTCTATTTTGAGGTGTTTCACAATTCTCTCGTTGATCATCATAAGAGTAGTGTGATGATCTTGCAACATCTTGATAAATTTTTTCAACACGATTATTGTTTTTTAATAAATCTAAACATCGTTTATAAGATTCACAAACAAATTTTAACCATAGTGCTAAAATATCACGATCAGCATGATTTAATTGGGATTCACCGGAAACAATACCCAATAATAAACTAAAAATGGGTATGAGGAGAGAATTTTATCGAAGTACAAAGTACAGCCGACTACCTCAATACAGGTTCTTCAATAAGTATACAAGTTTTAATATTTTTTGCTGTCCATGTTACAACTATCGTCTCCATACGGATTAATTATCTCTTCTTACCTTTCTGGTGTTTGTAATTTTTTCACGTCGTCAATATCTACGATAGCATTTTGTTCTGTTTGTCTTGCAGCTATACACTTCTGTTCCCCATATTTTAAAAAACTCATAATCACATCTTCTGGCGATTTGACCAACAGGATGAGACAAATGCTACCTGTTGTATCGAGCAAAAAAGATAAATCAATCACTTTCTGATTGCGATATTGTTTTGTACTAGTGTAAACTATCTTTAGCCACCTGACTTTTACGTAATTTGACATATAATTCACGTAAATTTTCCACCAAAAGTTTCTGCATTTTTGTTTACGTTCGATGACGTGTTAATTTAATGACTTCTAATAAACATTCGAGTGTGCATTGTCTTTTACCAACTACGATAAATTCTACACAAAAAGGAAAACCAACATGATATGAATGGAAAAGAGTTTCGATAGCAAGATGAATGAAAACTTACCATCAGCTCGTTTTAGAGCCCTTTCAAGTTTCACAAATACCATTCTGTATTGCTGTGAAAACTGAAAAAGTTTTATCTACAAAACAAAATAAGAATGAAGATATAAAAGTAACGCAGTAAATCTTCTGTGAAAGAAAGAATCAGAACAATACAATTTATTTATTTTTTAAAAATACGTACAAAAAAACAGAAAACTACTGATCAACATTATTATCTAACGATGTTTCGTGTTCTAAAGAATGATTGATTGTTTCCATTAGAGAAAAATATAATGATCGACATGGAACTATATGAGGATTCAGCTAAAACAAAGAGAAAATATAACGGTATCGCAAAAAAAGCGAAGTGTATGATCAGATTAACTATTTATTCCAAATTTTTGTTTTTTAAGCATCTTAGTGTTTATATCGTTTTTTTTATCAGTTGATATCTTATTTTTTATTCTTTTTATCTGATTATTTATTTGGCAGAGTTCATCGCATTACAAGTCAGGTATCTGTAGCAATCTCTCATATTTCATGAATTTTTTTTCTTTTTATAAGCTAAATCTTTTATAAAAGTGTCATTTATTTGTGTGCTTTTCGTGTATTATTAGTAATTCCAGAAAAAAACATTCCTTTCCTATTCTTGAACAAAACAATGATCCTCATACGTACACGAAGAACATTTTGTAAATCAAATGATGATAAAGGCAACGTGGATGTTTTTGAGCAATCATTGGCTAATTGTTCAAGAATATTTTTTAGAAAATTAATTGTTGTATCAGCTATTTTTTCTACAGCATCAATATGAATATCATCTAAACCACATTTTCTTCCTTGAATGATTATTGTTGTTCGCAATAGGGTCATAAGGCTATCGTCAGTTGTGAAACTCATCAATGTCCAGCAAAAATCTACAGAAAAGTATGATTACATTGAAGATATTTGTCCAAAACACATATGTTCCGTTTGCTCTATAAACATCGGATAAAAGTAAACGTTCAAGTAAAGAAAATCAATCAAGAATTACATAATTCTTCCTCAGCTCTAAACAGGGGGTTTCCAAGAAAATACAACTGATAAAACGTCAACCACTTAGATAGTACACGAAATTTAGAGTTTGTATCTTTCATAAAATTTATCGAAAGTTAAACCTTAACGATAAGCTCCAGTGATTTCGTTGGAAACTCGCAAGAGATTACACTGCACAAATCGTGTCAATAAGCGTCATATTTTCGTCTTTCTGACAAAAGTAGCTGTTGCAACGTTCTTATAAAATTTACATATAATTTTACAAACACATTTTGTCTAAGAATCTTGCAACAGATACTTTTGTCAGAAAGACGAAAAAATGTTTTTATTTATCGTAATTTACATAGTAGCATTCACTTCTATGGAAAAGAAAGTTTAGAAAAACTGGAAGAGATGTCGGGCATAGTCACTCACAAATACAATATAGTGAATTGATTGGAAAACAAAATTTCTTCGTCACTATCTGATTGGTCAATTCATCATTATGTTCGTATGCCTGCATGGTCCAGTGAAACTTCTGTTCTGTATCGTCAAGATCTTGATTCAACAACTTCGTAAGACGACGTAAGAATTTCATGAAATTTCCAAGAACCCAAGCTCTTGTCTGTGTGAAATTTATATAACCAGATCAGGGTATCGATATTTCAAGACAAGATGACGTTTAATTTTTTTTTGTTTCAGTCAGAGTATATAAAAGTTTGTATCCTTAAAAAAATATAGAGTATAACAGAGTGAGTTATGCTTAATTTCATACATAATTCAATGAAAAATAGACATGTGATGGTAAAAACACCACCAGCAAAGAACAACAATTATAGAAATAATGGATTTTTTCAAGAAGAAAAAAAATTCCCTATACAAAGTAAAGTAAGACGAGATTATACTCCAAAATAGAAAACTAACACAAAATGAGCAGAACCAAATACCATATTCCAAAACAGTTCAGTTTCGTCTTACTGTGGAACGATTGATTAGTGCAGTGTCTCGAAAACACAGTACATCAAAGAGATAAGGCAGAAAAAGATCGCGAATAGTCAGAACATGATGAACTGTAGTTCAGGAAGAGATTTAAAGTACATTTATATTTTTATATTAGGGTACTTTTTTTCTCAAATAGATACTAGCGATTAATATTTCAGATGCATCGCTATTTTAGAACACTTTCCTATGTAAAACAATAAAAAGAATTTATTAAGAAGAAAGAAGCTATTTCTCCTTAAAAATTTCTTTTTGCTACGGTGACGATGCTTCACCGTAGACAACAGACGGAATTCTTTTTGATGAAGAAGGCATGGTGTAAAAAGTCTGTGTATCATTTTCACTATTTACATCTAAATGATCAGTATTTTCATATCGACCGATTGTCGTTTCAGCATTCAAACGAAACGGTGTCGACGGTTCCGAAACGGTTGCATTCGACTGTGTTGCACTATATGACTCATTTGTTTTCACCTGTAAAACCGGTTGTTGTACCATTTGATTAATGATTGTTTGAGCAACAAGAGTAGCACGTCTTCTCCTCAAATTTTCCATTGAGGGTGGTGCTTCAAGAGTCATTGGTAATAGTGAAGATGGTTTTTCAATCGATGCGATTACGGCTGTTACCGGTGAATGTTTTTTGACACTTGCTGATGCTATATTTGAAAAAAAGTTATTAGCACCCGAACACCGGCCACACGAACGAATGATGGTATTGACTTGAACACTTTTTTCAATTGTGAAATTATCTGTATCACCTGGAAGTGATTTAAGAGCTCGTATTAATAAACCGGCACTTAAACGACGTAGTGGGTCAGTTGTTGAACGTACAGCGGTCGTAACATTTGTGCTAGTACCACTACACTGTTGTACAGCATCACCATGGGACATATGAGTAGAATCAGTAGCTTTTGACAAGTGATGTCCAAAATTTTCAGTTAATAACTCATCGGTACTTAATTCATGAAAACCTAAAAATAGAAAAAAAGAAACATGTTTTTAGAGAAACAGTTAAACACAAATAAAGACAGATTGTTCTAACATACCCATTTGCTTTAAAAATTCAATAAGATCTCTTAATATTTTACTTCCTACTGTAGCTAATGTTGCTTTAATATATGTTTGCACAGTTTGTATACATAATGAAACAAATGCTAAACCAAATAATATATAAATTGAAGAGATGAGCATAAATTCAGGCTTATACGGTTTTAAATTGAGACCAATTGTAAACAATGATATATAACAAAAATAAAAACTATCAAATAATGACCAATTTTCATGTCGAGAAAATAAGCAAGCACCAAAAAACATATAAAATATTAATGTAACAACTAATTGTGTTAAAGTTAAATCAAAATTATCGTTGACATCATCCAACGATTTTAAAATAATATCCCAAAATGTTTGTAAAGCAAATGATAATCGTTTACGATGTGTATTAAATTGAGTATGTCCATTTTGAATAAGAGCAGAGTAATCACTGTCTTCTACTGATGTTGTTGTTGTTAGTTGACGATGCTGATTTTGAAAATTAGATACATCTTGTAATGTAATAACAATACCTAATTTTTCTTCAATAAAACGTATTAAATAATATGATCGTATTTGTAAAAAATAAGATGTAGAATATAAACGATAGAATACGGATGATGAATATTTAATCATACGTGTTAATAATACACTCAAATCATTTAATAAGACTAATGTTAACGGGATACCTAGTGATGCATAAATCATTACAAATAATTTACCAATTTTTGACACTGGGCAATAATCACCATAACCTAAAACATTATCTCATAATATAAAATTGAAAACAAATTGAAAATAAAATCAGACCTATCGTTGTTAAAATTGAACCAACAAAATATAATGAACCAATAAATGACCATTTTTGTTTCTTGTTTACTGATAAATAATCTTCTTGATGTTTATTAATATTTATTGTCGAACGATAACATTCTTTTATTTCTTCTTCATATTCTAATAATTGATCACGTATATATTTTGTATAAGTTTGTATATCAATTGCTTGACGTTTTGATAATAATTTTGTTAAAAATTTTTCACGTTCACGTTCAATTGTTTTTACAGTCGATGATTGAACAGTAATAACATTTGTTGTTGAATGATATTTTTGTGATTCAATTTCTTGTATAATAGATGCACCAATAAATGTATAAATTAAAAATATTAGAGATATGGCTAAATGAGGAATAAATAATAGTGACCAATATTTTATTGAAATAACATATTCACGAATATTAAATTTTTTCGACATGAAAATTGAAGATTATAATTGAACTAAACAAAATAAACAAAAAAAAAAAAACGATAAGTAGGAAAAACATTTTTTCTAGCTTAGACCTTCTCTCAACTATCATTAAATTAAGTTTAGGCAATACTGTTCTTTTGATAATTTAATAGTCGTTGGATGTTATCCATTTATAATATAACTCTAGGCACGCTTTTCTCTCTGTTAAAAAACCTATTCTTTCTTTTCAAAGACTAGAAAACTCTTTTCTTTCCTCATTCTTACGTCTATCACTTCATTACTTATTCCAAAAAAAAAAAGAAAAATGTCATTTACCTTTATGTGTTAAGGAACCGCAAAGGTAGACAAAAATAAACAACTTGTTCATGTTATACGAGAAGAACGAAAAACTTTTTTTTAATATAATAATTTTTGACATATATCGTGACTTGAAATATTAAAATGTGTTTAATGAATGAACGAATTCTAGATGAAAATAGACAGAGAAACTATATTGTACGTCATAATATAATAATAAGTATACTATTGAACAGGTATTCCAAAATATGTAAACATAAATAATTTTTTCAAGGTTAGTACATGATTTGTTAATGTCGAGAATTGAGTATAGTCTCTTTGAAGTATATGTCAAACAACTTAACTATTATGTCATGCTATAAGTTATTGTATTTATAATGAAAAATAATTAAATTTTTCAAATATTTTATTACACAAGTATTCTTGAAGGAAAATAAACATTCATTTATGCTTGTTTATCAATAAAAAAAGGTAAATGCTTTTTCTTGCATTATTAATATTGTAATTAATAATCTACTCAATTATGTATTATATAAATCAACATTCATACAAACTAACTATAGTTTTCATTTTGACTGTTTCATGTTACTCGTTTTGTGTATATAAAATTGAAATACTTTTTCATTGATAACGACTATCAACAGTCACTTTGGACAATATTGATGTCGACTTTAGTTGAATTTGATCTTATATATGCGATACTAATCGACTAATTTTTTCATTGAAAATATGAATTTGATAGACTTAACGAAAAAATGTTTGATACCTATAAAAACTACATTATTAAAGACAAGTTCTCTCCGGTTACTATATGAAGGACATCATCTACCGTTTATGTAATGATATTTATCTGTTTTTTTCTGTAAAAAGCACATGCAAATTATCTTCCATCATCTCATGTTTATCACAGTAAACTTCCCTCTAATAACAACTTACAGAAGAATGCTTTTTATTTTGCTATATTCTTCTTATCTTAATTATACAGTCGCGTCGCCTTTAAGCGATAATTGTATTAATTCAAAAAAAAAAAGGTCATTTTTTTCTCTGTTTTTTTTCTTCTTCTTCTTCTTTTCTTCTTTCATAAGCTCTTCTGCTAATATGTATATTTATTTTTCTAGTCCTGTTAAAAAATATTATTTCGGAAAAAGAGTGTAGGTGACGTATGTTCGTACCATTATTATAATAATGAAAAATGTCGTCAATATCCATATTCTTCCTCTTTTTATATTTTTTTACTAAATAGTTTGAGTAGATAAACACATGGACATCAAGCAACTGCTAAATTACTTTATATCGATGTTTATTACGTTTAATAAAATTTCTACTTTGTACTGTGGTGAAATAGTGTCTATTAAAAACCTGAGATTTTTGTCCTATGTATATATATATCTATATATATAACAATTTTAATAGAATTCAAGATATTCGACAGATATTAAGGTAGAATTTATTTTAATTCGAAACAAAAAGATAATATATCATAAAAATAGTCTGACTTTTAATTACTGCTAAAATAAAGTTTTCTTTATCAAAAAAAAAAAGCTCATAAATTTCTCTAGAAATCTGGAAGAAAAAATAAAACATTAGACGATTGAAGCATTAAAGAACTAGAGATGAATCAGTTAAGAGAGTAATCGTCAAATATCAACATTAATGAGGAAATTTATCTTTTTTCTTTTTTGATAATTTTACCCGATTTAAAAACTGATAAAAATTTTAGTCTTTTGATTTCACAGTAATAATATTTTACAAAAATTTCTATTGCTACATTTTGTAATTTAGACAACTGTTTATTGAATAATGTATCATAAATTTTAATAGGAGAGTAGAACTTTTGATCAACAACGCGAAAATGCCGGAGATAAAGTCATGAAAAACTTTTGAAAAAACATCATCGAAAATCTTAATTATCTAAATGAGTAAACGTGTTGAGTTTTTATAACCTCTTTCACATGATATGTTTAACAATACTATCCCATTTCACAAATAATTGAATTTCTATATAACTTTTTTGGTTTAGTTTTATAATTAGTTTGAAATTACATACAATGCATCAACTATTAGAGAGAAGGAATCAATTTTTTAGCTGAACTTTGCCTTTATTGAATATCTAAAAATCTGATGACATGCCTTACTATTTATTCCTCTAGAGATCCAATCATATAAAAGATTCTTATACTTTTTTTTATAATAATCTTATAGAAATCTTACGAAAATCTTAATTCCCCAGTCAATAGAAATACATACTGTGATTATAAGATTCCCACAAAAATTTATATAATTACTATAGTCAAAAATGAAACGAAAAAGAATCTTGATATAAATTTTATTCTGTTACAATACAAGTGAAAAAATATTCCATTATAGTATTCTAAACTAAAACTATCGAAAAATACAAAATCAATTTTGTACGAATAGAGATTGAAACATATGAACTAAGTTTTATAGTAAACTGCAAAACTAAATCCAAATGTTCTGCGTCTATATTCTGTATAATGATTGATGTTGTGCAATCGACTTAATGTTATTAGTAATAATTTTTTTTTTTGTATGTTTTTTATGTTCTGTTTTTGATATAAAAAACAACCTTTATAACAAATCCTCCAGATAACAAATAAAAAAACCTTTTTTCTTTTTGTTGTCTGAAGGACGATGGCAAAATTTTGAACTTTGAAATTTTTGAACATTTTTTGTAAGACACTATAGGATTATAAGAATTTTATAAAAAAATTTATAAACTAAAATCTTACCAGAACCTTATTCAATTCTTATAAGATTCTTATAGTACGAAATTATAAGAATCTTATCACTACAGTATACATTTCTATTGACTGTAACATATAAGATTTTCCTAATTTTGATCGATTAGGGTCGTTACTGGCTTAGTTTAATAGACTATAATAATAAAAAAAAGTTAGATTTCTTTCATCCATAATGAAAATAGAACAGTTATTATTGAGATGTGTAATAATATCCGATTTAAGAAGAGCCAGTTAAGTAGAAGTCGATTGTAGTACATATGATTTTTTTAAAAAGAAACTATCTTAAAATTTTCTTGTTGAATAAAGTGAATCTTTTCTTGCATAAGTTCATATATAATATTATGCAGTCGTTTTCGATGAAACATTGACAATATATCACTCAGAAAATATTCGTTCGAGATTTTCTTGCATCTACGATGTTTTTATTCTTCATATTTTACAGAGATACACGGGAGACACTTTTTCCAGTTTCTAGTTTGCAGTATCCCGTTAGTTTGAAAACCTTTCTCTTCCAATTCCGCTTCCCGCAGTAGTTATTTTCCTCTTCTTGATTATATAGCGTAGCTTGAAGAAAATAAAACTAAAACTAATAAAAATGTGTGCCTATCACAAACATTTTACTAAGGCAGCAGCTTGTTTTGTTTTCCAAAATATTAATCATCAAAGGAAAACTCAAGAACTTGCAAAAAAAGAGAGGGCGGTACAATTATAAAAAAAAGTTTTTATAAAAATCATGTTTTAAAAAGGTACAAGTTAAATATTTTTCCAATAGCATATTCAGATAGAAAACAGTTGAACGCATGTATTCATATGGTTACTATATCCTTATAGATTGGTCGAATGCCAAGATATAGGATCGAACTATTTCTATATTTTTTTATAGTACTATATATTTATTACGTAGATTTTCATGAGTGTCATTATTTTTCCCTCCATAAATAGTTTTCTCCATTTAAAAATTTATTTAATTTTTTTTTCTTTTCTATCGTTTTGTTTAGAACAAATAAAATAGGTTGATGTCTCTCTCGAGATATATAAATACTGCGGTGAAAAAAGAAAAAACAAATAATACATATGACAATTAAGAAGAAAAAAGTGTTGATAAACGAAGTAGACACAACAAAAAACTCTCTCATGAGTAATAATTCTTGATTGATGATAGATTTAACCTTGCTGACTTTTTGAACACTTTCTTAACATATAATCAGAAAAAAAAAAGCGGACATTCAAGGAGGAACAGATTATGATGTCGTTGACATATCAATAACTAGCTATGAGGAAAAAGCAATTCTCTACTTACTATGTTGGTCTTTTCAAAGTAAATATGACAATTATACATTAATAGGGAAGAAGAGAAATATAATTGTATAAGATAGTAGGAGCAGGAGATAGTCTGTCATTTTTTTAAAGATGACAGACACATCGGATGTTTATCAAATACAAAAAAAAACATACTTTTTCCCTTTAGAAAAGAACGAAAAATTTTTTTTTTTTTTTCTTGATATAAAAATATCCGAAAAAGAAAACAATAGAAATTCAATTTATATCAAATTTGTCAGCATATGTGTATACTATGTATAGTAAAGATCACCGAAATATACGATAGTAATGTGTATATAGTATGCAAATGATAAAAGTATAAGAATAAGATCACAAATGCAAGCATATATATATTATTATTCTCTGTTTTGAATGCAAAAACAAGGTCTATAATATCAACAAGTATTTTTTGTTTGATTGTTCTCTTGATAATTAACGCAAATATGATGTAGATTTGATGATTTCAAACAAAAAAAATTGAAGATAGATTTAATTTATTAAATAAAAATAGAAATTTCATTTAACTAAAACTCAAAAGTAAAACACTTAAACTTTATAATGCGTAATAAGCAGATTTATAACTGCTACTAGAACGTACTCACATAGTTTCTTTTCTAACAAAAATTTAATTTTAGTCTTCTTTGGGCGATTTTTAGAATGCATTTTACAAGAGGAGAAAAGTCTTACAGATTTTAACCATATATTCACTTTTAATTTTCATTGTTGTCATTTTTTTAAAAAGTTGACATTTTTTATCGTTGATCAGTCGCTCTCTTATTATTCTTGAATCAAGTTAAGTGGATGTCTGATATTAACATTCTTGTAATATCTATGAATTCATACATCCATTTATGTCAACAGCTTTTTTAGAGGCCACAGGGCTGTCGATAAATAAATTTTCTTCCAGAAGTCAACATATTTTAGATATTTTTGATCGAAATATTATTATTACTACAACTTTGTCAAGAAATGCCATCCATGAAATTCAAGTATTGATATACATGTCAATGCATAAAAATTTAAATTAATTAATGTCGACATAAGAGGAAACTTCCCTCGGAAAAAATTCTCTACACCGTGCAAATGATTTGCACAAAATTTTCATGGATGAGACGCTATGGCATGAGCAAATTATGATAAAAATTTGAGCCCAAAATATTGACGTGTTCAAGGATTATAGGTGTCGCAATGTGCAAAATGGGACTGTATGTGAGGTACATTTTTCTCAGGCTGGATAGTAGCTACAGAGTTCAGGTCTATTTTAAATGAAACTAGATACAAAAGTCTAAAAAGTGACAAATGCTTTTGTTCAACTCGCTTGGATGAAACTTTTAGAAAAACTGTGAATACCTCGTAAAACCTAATTTTTCCATAAAGAGCTATACAGATTCTGAAAGAGGCCACTTCAGGCTATCTATTTATGCAAAAAGCTCAATTTCAATTTTCCATCAAAAAATTGACTTTCTAAAGGTCTCTCCTTTAACAAATGTTTTGAATCTGTTACACAACATATATTATTAGAATTTTTACAAGGCATGTGTACAACTGATTCTCAGAACCGGTAAAAGCGATCAGAGAAAAACAGAATAAGATGAACTTCGAAATGATGTCTTGGGTTTCAACAGGATAACAAAAAGTCTGTGGATATGTCCAAATGTTCTTGACTCCCTTTTCCTTTTAACTTTTTTCCATTTGTTTAAAATCAGTTGTATCTAAATAATGTTCCTCTTTCTGTTGTTTCTTCTGTTCGCTATCTTGATGTTCTTGTTTTGCGCGACGTGAGGTGGAATGATCATGCTATGGATATTGCTCTTGCTTGTCTCATCCAAATCTGACACTTTAGCATAAATATTTTCGGCTAGTACAGTTTTTCAACATTTACCATCATCTTCGACCACTTTCCATTTTCTATACTGTTGATCGTCCTCATTATTCTTCGTTACATTGTCATACCAAATGTGTTCATATTCCACTTCGTGTCAATGGTTTTTCTCCACAAAACTCTTCTTCTTCCTTCTTTTATTCAATTGACTAGGATAAACTTCCGAAAACAGTCATTCGTTCATCTTCTTCATCGCCATTCAAAATAGCTCTATCTCAGCATCTTTTACAGCAGAAATTAGCCATGTCTACAATTATAAACCAAGCCCAGTGCTGCTACTCTCTTGTTTTGTTTATTTGTTTTTATTCTTTTTCATCCCTCTGAATACACTAGTTTTCTGTTTTTTTAATTTCTGTATGTATAGTTTCTTTTTGTGGTTGTTTGCCTTGAGTCATTATTATTATAAGTCGATGACCTTTGATAACTCTCACTTTTCGTGAATAAATTAGTCTTAATAAAGGTCTTTGGATAATAATTAGACAACACACCCAACGTCGAGTCGGATTAGTATTTGAACACGTCCGACTATGGTGAATTGGATAGTATTCAAGTTCATACGATAATTTTAGGTATATCTCTTGAACCTAGCATTAAAAAAACTTCGTTTTAGTCGTAACAAAGATGTAAAGCGTCCTACCAAACAAAGCTTTTGCAAAAACGTGTCGATTGTTTCTTGAAAAATTGATTTTTTTTGTAGAAACTATTGTACTATAAAGTAGCCATTTCAATATCTCATATACTGGGGTCCATATCACAAAAAAACTTAAGTCTGACTTAATTCAAAATTTAGACTTAAGTCTTCGTTATGTGCACTTACGTGCTAATTTTATACACTTAAGTCTAAACTTTGACTTACGTTTTTTCGTGATACGACCCCCTGCGGTTCAAAAATCTGTCAACATCTCTGGCCGTAAAACCTGTAAGCAACGTGTTGTACCTTGAAAATGTATACTCATGGCTATTATTCAGATCAAGGAACGTTAGGCAAGAATTGGTCGAAAAGTAGCCATCTCTCACATAGTTGTAACTCTTTTCGTACAAGGAACCTGATTGGTCGTTGGTTCATGCTAAACAGTTTTCTATTCTAAGACAAACATTGTACTGCGTGCTTTTTTCTTAATACAAAATGTTTGGTTTCCTTCTAGAGCAGAAAAAGTTTGAGTTTTTTATATATAATATATTCCTGAATATACTATATATAAAAAATATAACAACTATTCTAAAAATACTCGAACTTTTACTTTAGAGGATTATGTAGTCTACCAGAGCAAAATTATATTTGCTCTTATTTAATTATTATATTCTTGTATTACTTACTGTAGCATACGTCCTTCTATAATCCGCACTTGAAACATATGCAAGTGCCTCATCTTAGATTTTCTTTAGAGCACAGTGAAAGATGAAAACTATTGAGGATTTTAGACGTGTGTGATATCTATTTTCATTTTTTATATTATTACAGGCCGAAAAAAAGATGCCTCGTATTCCATTAGTCAGTAATAAAACATATTCGACGCCTCGACGTCCGTATGAAAAGGAACGTTTAGATCAAGAGTTAGAATTAATTGGCAAATTTGGTTTACGTAATAAACGTGAAGTATGGAGAGTTCGTTATACATTGGCTAAAATACGTAAAGCAGCTCGTGAATTACTTACACTTGATGAAAAAGATCCAAAACGACTTTTTGAAGGTAAAAAAAAGAGGAACTATCATTTAATGAATATTTTTCTTGTAATACTAAATTGTTCGTTTTTATTTGCAGGCAATGCACTTTTACGTCGTTTAGTTCGTATTGGTGTATTGGATGAAACAAAAATGAAATTGGATTACGTATTAGGTTTAAAAGTTGAAGATTTTTTAGAACGTCGTCTGCAAACACAACTATTACGTTTAGCTTTAGCAAAAAGTATTCATCATGCGCGCGTTTTGATTCGTCAGCGTCATATACGGTAAGAGTTACGATAAACAAAAATACTTTGATATTGTTATGCTTCATTTTCATTTAGTGTTCGTAAGCAAGTTGTTAATATACCATCGTTCATTGTACGTCTGGATTCACAAAAGCATATCGATTTTGCTTTGCGATCTCCATTATCCAGTGGTGGACGTCCTGGTAAGCAAACTATTGAACTTTAATATTCATTGGAAGTGAAAATAGAGTCGAAAAAGCAGAAATAAGAACTAGTCTTTCGTTCAGGTTGATAACCATATTAAACTCTTGCTTTATAAAACGGTGATTTTGACACTAACAACATAGATCTGTTTCTCTTTTTACCAGTCCACTTAATTAATGAGTTTTTATATTGTGTCTGTTTTAGGTCGTGTAAAACGTAAAAATATGAAAAAAGGCGAAAAAAGTGGCAAAGCAGACGATGCGGACGACGAAGAAGATTAAACCAAACATATTATTTGGAGTGTGTAGATGTGCTCCAATTTTTGTTTATTGTTTGTTTTTGTAACAGTGGAAAAAAGTTGATTAAGTATTTCTGTCTTATTTTTTCTCTATTATAACAAATGTAAACAAACTTGTCGAAAAAATAAATAGATGCGACATACATACACACACATCATGAGAAAAGTGATCAATATCAAATATTCTAAAATCATTAGACGAGATTCACTAAACAGGAAAAGAATGAAAAGCGTGAAGCTTTCATTCACCCGTCATAACTCACACCAGACAGCATTATTTCGCTCCTAATATGATCAGAATTGATTATTAGTAACATTTGTACCCGTATATACTTTGTCCTAATTAATTAGATGAATAAGGGTGATTATATGCATTTGCTTGAATATAGTTTTTTTGGGGAACTCAATGATCTTTATTTACTTTTAGATGGGAAAACCACGATATAATCCTATATTATCAACAAAACGAAAAAAGGGTCGTTTTGGTGGAAATGATCCTGATATGTTTTTGCGAGATGACATGAATAATGACGACGATGAAAAAACTTGATATGGATGACGAAGTTGACAAATTTTATCGAGAGCGTGATGAACGTTTAGAAAATGATTTAAAAAAAAGTGGTAAAATAAAAAAGAGTGTCACATGGTCGAAAAATATTGATGATAATGACGAAGATGAGCCACAGGATCACGAAGAAGTATTAGCATTTGACGATAGCGATGAGTCGGACAATGACGTGGATTATCAAACAATCGATAATGAAGATGAAGACGAAGACGAAGAAGCGGATGAGTCACTTGGTCAAAATCAACAGTCGTGGGGGAAATCATTGCGAACATTTTATAACGAAGATGTAAATCAAACAGCAGATGATGCAAAATTAGAGGAAATGGAAGCTCTTAATATACAAAAACGTTATTATGATATGTTAGAACAAGATGATTTTGGTTTAAATTTATTTCAGACACCAGCACAAGGAGTGGTCCCATCGGTTGATCAAAACCAAATTATTGAACAAGATTTAGCTAAACTAAGTCAGAATGAAAAGTTACAGTTAATAAAAGATGAATCACCAGAATTAGAACATCTGTGTATAGAATTGAAAGAAACATTAAATGATTTAAAAATTTATTTATTACCTTTGGTAAATTTGATTAAACAAAATCAACATTTTTCTGAGGAATTTCAATCTTATAAGGGTTGGGAATTTGTTCAATATTTAACTGAACTTTATCTCACTTACTGTTCATATCTGAGTTTATATTTTACAATGAAATCATCATCAAATGAAATGACGAGTGTGGTAAGAAATCATCCGTTAATGAATGATATTAAACAATATAGACAATTATGTCAATTATATAAACAAGATTTTGAACAAATCAAGCCAGATATAGTGGAACTATGTGAAATTTTAAATGAAAGAAAAAAAACGATCACCATTGGCACAACGCTACCGTCAAGACCATCTTCGAGTAAACAAAAAACAACATTAAATCAACGACAAGTAAGCGAGAAAGATATAAAATCGACGTACAATACTGAAGCATGTAGGATTGATTCCCTCTCTTTTTTGGTCAACTGATTGGAAGAGTGTATCATCATTGATCGTCTTAAGATTTTATAGGAAAGAGAACCTGCATTATCGATCTTTATTGTATTTTGCTTTCTACTTTTAGAATGGTCATTCTCATCCGTCAAATGGCAATGGCTTGACTAATCCATCGAATTCATTACGTGAACAGATTAAGAAGAAAATGGATGAAATAGAAAAATTGAAAAAACTAGACGATGATGAAAAACAACAAAGGAAGAAGAAAAAACCCGCAATGCCAGAAGTAGAAGAGGATGATAAGTCTGAAAACGATGACAATATAATGGAAAATAATGTTGGAGATGATGAAAAAATTCATGAAAAACGTAAAATAACGTATCAAATTGAAAAAAATAAAGGTTTAACACCGAAACGAAAAAAAGAAAATCGAAATTCACGTGTTCGTCATCGTAATCGTTATGAAAAAGCGTTGAATAAACGAAAAAGTCGTGTGCCAACAGCGAGAAACGAAGAGAAAAAATATACAGGTGAACCAACGGGTATTAGGGCTGGTATAAAACGGGGTGTGAAATTGAAATGAATTGTTTTCACGGTTTCTTTTATGTTCAAGACATATTTTTGTTACCGAAATAAAAGCTTCATGTTAAATTTAGAACGCTGTTGACAACAGTAAAGTTTTATCATTTCACTCTTATCAAAGGTCAAACTGATTAAAGTATACCCAGAATTGACTTAAATATTTCTTTGTTTACGCTTAATGTTACAGATATATTTTTATTTTTTGTCTATGATAAACCGATAACAAATCTTATTTTAAAAAAGCGAAGAAAGTAAAATGCAAACAGAACCATAACATATGCCTGAAACCAAACAATTTATGACTAATACATAGGATAATTAAATAGTTTTATATTTCGCAACCCCCTTGTGCACAAATGGTCTCTAATGTTTTCTGAGCTTCGGATAAACCTGCTTGTGCAGCTTTTTCAATGAGTTGACGAGCTTCTCTAAAACAAAACAGAAACGTTTAAAATCGGAATTTAAATGTATTGGTAGTTAGTGACAGTCAGTTACATTGTCAGTTTCCAATCACCATTGGCCACCCATTGAAACTTATCTTTTTTTGTTTTCCTCTAAAACTTGTTTGATGTAATGAAAACATTTCACTACAGCATATTCTGCAAATGCTTTCATTGAAGAAGTTAAACTTTAACTGGAAGTCATAATTTTTGTCCAAGTTCTTGCAGAAAAATCAGAAACTTTATTTTTCTTGAACCTGAGCTTTTTTAGTTGAAGACTTTTTTTGTTTCAAAGAGTGGCATCGGTGCCGAACAAGTGTTGATAAAGTGTATTTTATACCGCTCAGAAAACAATCCTTCGGTATTAGTATACACCAGTACACGACCAATATCTATAAAAAATATTTTCACAGGGTAGCGCGTATTGTAGCCAAATGTTGCCCGTAAAATCTTGGGAAAATAGCTGCGCATGAGCAAAAAAAAATTATTCGACGTTATCATTCTTTCATTGTGACAGGAGGCTGGCTGTAGGAAAACTAAAAAGTAGTTACCATAGAGAACACAACCCACCCTTCTTTCAAACCGGTAGCTATTCCTTTCAAATGAGCAATAGCTAAATTATATTGTGCTTTGGTGTGGCCTTTCTCCGAAGCTTGTTGTAGCCAGTAGATGGCGTTCTCCATATGCTGATCAGCACCAATTCCTGTAAATAATAGAAATGACAATATAGCTGTGAAGAAATTCGAACGATTCTTCTCGCAGATTCAATATTAATAAAATTAGTCTAGAACCTTGAGGAAAAGTCTCACTTGATAAAGGAGGAAAGACGTTTTCTACGATAAATCGGCCCCAAGGGGGAATAGGCAACTTTTTTCTTAGCATCGGAGAGCATTCCTCAGCATCGGATGCTGATCATCTCAAACTTCTGAAAGCATTTCAAGGGCTCCGGAGAGCTCCCGGAGTCACCTTTTCCCTTGATGAGCCCCCCACTCATTTTGATTATTGATCGAAGAAACTATAGCTGATCATCCTTTCATTCGTTTTCTATTATTAGTTTTGGTCCCTGCTTGTTCACAGGCTCGGAAAACATTTTTTTTGTAAATGATCGGTCGTACAAGAATACTTGCCCTTAGTTTACTTTTTTTTCCGATCAAGAAAAAGTTCGCTAACATTATGTTATATAACAATCGATAATCCTCAACAAGGTCAACAAAACTGCATTTTTGAAATCATTTTCGGATATTAGTCTAATGGAGTAATATGCCAAAAGTATCCAAAAGTGAATAGTATGATCTTTAGTATAAGCCGATTTACTGTAGAAAACGCTCTTTCCTTTTTTGCAACCTGTTTTTCTTCTATACTAACCGTGTAAATAACTGTGTGCTACCACATGTTGAGCTTCTTGATAACCAAGTGTTGCATAGAATCTGTTTACATGAAAATGAACTCTGTCAAAATGGTAATATGTACAGTAGAGTAAACCAATAGCCGTGCATAACAGAAGACCCTAGAAATAAAATACGAATAAAATTATTAGATGAATAAGTTGAAAGTTTTATCTCTCCTTTGTTCATTCGACTTGTATTAAATAAAACTATTGAAAAATCGTGATTAATGAGATAGCTTTGTATATAAACAAACTTCATTCAAAATACACAGTCCGCTTTCTTTAATCATTTAGTATTCACTTGATATGACTTCAAAAGGTAACAAATACAAGTCTAGCTTACTTCAGCAAATTTAATATACCATGAATCTGGTTTTTTCTTTCTTGCTAAATGAACTCTGCCTTTGAAGGGTAAATCATTATTTTCGTCATAAACATCTAATAAACGTTTTCGAATTTCTTGTTCCGCTGACATTTGTCACAATTTCATTGAAATCTATACGAGAAGATCAATGTTGAATGTTTTAAAAATGTAGACAAATAAATGTAGATATAATATAATTTTTTTCTTCTGTTTTAACTCGTATGTTCACGCATTCTTACTTTTTTCAAAAAAATAGAAAAAAATAATTTATTTTCTTTTATTATACGAATCGCAAGGGAAATAGAAGTTTTTCTTACAACTACAATCATTTTTTTTTTCTCCATAAAACAGAATATAGACTAAGTTTAAATTGTCTTAACATTTACTCGTTAAAAAAACTATGAAAATGTGATATATTTTTAAAATTTGTATTCTGTGTTTAACAACTTTTTCGATCATAATGAAAATTTTAATTATTTTATTTAATACCTTGTATATTCTTACTCTCAATCTACAATATCCCCAACTAAACAGTTGCTAAAAGAGAATATCATACAGATTATAATAGTCAAAAATGACAAGATCTATGAGATACTGTTATCCAGTGACTAAGAAAAATGTTATTCAAGCAAATTCTTAAACTCACATCAAGATGAACTATATTTACAAAAAAATAGAACGTAAATAGATATCTTACTGATATATAATTTTACTTATAAGCGATATTGTACTCAATACAGTTCTATCGATACATATGGCCTCAATTTTTTCTCTAAAAACTACAATAGAAATCTAAAATCTGATTCTGCATAGCCACAGGTCTTCGCATCCTTTAACACTAACCTGAGCGTTGTGATACCCAAAATCGACGACAAGTCTGGGAAATAGAACCATTTGTGAGGCAGAAAGCAATTTTGAGAAAAACGCAAAATAAGGTGCACGGAAAGCAGAGTTCGAGTGAAAAATAAATTCGGTGTTTTTGCACATCGTTCGATAGAAAATCGAACGGCGATCACGAATATCATTTCTCTTACTCCGGAAACCCTTTCCTCGCGCAGTTATGAGAGTCAAAATACTCGGAGGGACCAAAAAACCGTTTTCGCTGTCTTTTTTTGAATTTGAAATTTTTAAGCTCAGCTTGGAGTTGAAGTATTCTAACACACATATTCCTGTTCAGCGTCGAAAACTGAACAAGAATATGGACTCAGAAAGATTTTAGACCCAAGCCCCTTTGCGGCAGGAACACCAAGAGAAAAACGGCCAAAAAGTTCTTCCCGTTTTTGAAAACCTATCTTCTCTTTTCTGGAAGATCGTAGAGCCTCAATTCACGCTGCGTTCGACTCCCCGTGAGCTTCTCTTCAACTTAAAAGAGAGCTTTTTTCGAAATTCCTTTTCCTCGCTGAGAAAAATCATTTTGTCTAAATCAGAGATGAAACAGTCGGAAGTTTACCCGTAATTTCCCAATTTTCTCGATCAGAACTCAACTTCTGAGCAATAAAGCCTTTTATATTTAGAATGATGTATTTGTTGTAGACCGAGGTTTCAGGGATAGTTTAGAAGCGATGCATGCTTTAGGCTTGGATGTGGCAATGCTACCATTTTTAGACGGTCAAAAACAATTTTCAACATCAAGTGCGAACAAATCACGGTGTATAACGAAAGTACGATGGGTGGTAGAGGCTGTAAATGGACGATTAAAAAATTACGGCTTCTTTAACAAACAGTATAAAATTCGTCGCTAGGGTTTGTCGAAGATTATCTTTCGATAGTCTGTGCTTTGATAAACTGCTATACAGAACCAATTGCAACGTCGAAATCTGGAGATGTTGATATTAGTGGAATAATGCTGTCACTTCTCAACCAAAAAAATAAAGTCCATGCGGTAATAACTACTTACCATTACTTCACTACCTAGAATTGTAAGTTTTTTTAACTGATACAACAACACAATTTGTCTCGAACTTCTCAACAGGAAAATATTGATGGAACGTCACTCTTTTCGACATTCCCATTGTTATCCGAAGAAGAGATAGGAGATATAACTTTAGGTAACATATCACAAAAGTTT